CTTCTTTTTGCCACTTTCTTACAACGGCCGAAGGTAACTTTAAAGGATTTCTCATTCTTAGAAAACACACAAGTCAGGCCCGGCTGGCAGGGACATGCTGTGTACAGGCCGAGGAACATCTGGGAAAGGCGAGATTTGACTTTGACCCTGGCTGCTGCTCTGCCCTCAGTTCTGAGAGGCAGCCCCCACTTCCACCCCAGCCCAGCTCTGGTCGCATTTGCTTGCACACAGCAGAGGGAGGGGCCTAGGCGTAAAGTACCCGCTCACCCAGCTGCACAGGGTCTGTGCCTCTGGCTGCCTCCTCCATGCTGGCTGAGGATTGAAATCGTCAGCCGAGAGGCGATGGGGGACAGAGGGGCGATGGGGGACAAGCGATGGGTGACAGAGGGGCAATGGGTGACAGAGGGCGATGGGGGACAGAGGGGCGATGGGGGACAGGCAATGGGTAACAATGCTGTATGCCCAGCACTGGGGGCCATTGATCTGTGTGTCTGGGGTGGGGGAGGCAGGTGACACCCCCACTCAGGGTGGCATTTCTTAGCCCCTCGTAGACGCAGATGGCAAAACAGGTGTCACCTGAGATGTACCAGTAGTTCACTTATTTGCCTCCTACGCCAGAATGTAGCTCTACAAGGGTGATGATTTCTGTGCCTCGCTCACAGCCCTGACCCAGCGCCTAGAAGAATGATTGACAGAGAGCAGGCGCTCAGTAAGGAGTGAATGGCTGGGTGTTGACTGTCCCTTGCCGGATGTGACTGGGGGTGGGGAGAGGGCAGTGCGCCTGGGTCTGCCTTTCCTTCCGGCATCCTCCACCCACACTCCCCACTGCCCCCACTCGCTTCACTCTCACCTGCCAGGGTGCCCACCCCTCGTCCCCAAATAGTACAGATCTCAGGACGGCACAGAGGAGGGGACTATCCTCTGGGTTCCTTACCAAATTGCTAGCTTGCTGTGTCTTTAAAAGCGAGCTGCTGGAAGGACTCACAGAAGAGGAGGAGGCCCGGGAGCAGCAGCCTCCGAGTCACGGCCCAGGGGTGCTGGCGGCATTCCTAAGGTCCTGCCAGGCTCTGCCACGTGACTGCATGTGCCGCAGGCCTGGGGGCCGGTGGCTGGTGTGGCTGCCAGGCCCGGCCCTGACAGGACAGGCTGTGTGGGCTGCAGGCCGCAGAGACGGAGGAACAAGCAAGGGGCCGGGGTGGACCTCTTCCGGAACCGCTGCTGCGTTCCTGGGGCTGCCCTCAGAGCAGTCCGGGCTCTGGCAAGATCTGGGTTCAGCCACAGCTCTCCAGCTTGCTGGCTGTACGATCTTGGGCAGACTTCATAACTTCCTGAGCCTCAGTTTCCCCACCTGCAGGACATCACAGGGGCGGTGCAAGGCTTAAACAGCAGGTATTGCACTTCGTATAGAACGGGCGCCGAATAAGCAGGAGCTGTTACCGTCTTTAGAATCAGAAGATCTTGGAGTGAGAGGGGTTTCAAAAGATGCTCTCATCCAATCCAACTGTATATTGTTACTAATGAACATTTTTGTTACTGTCGGATGCCACTCTCCCCTCCTCAGCTCTGGAGAAGAATTCCGATGAGTGACAGACAGCAGTGCTGAGGCAAAGCAAGGGAATTTATTAGGGAGGCAGAGCAAGCTGACTGGTTGGGAAGCGCAGCAAGCAGGTTTATTATGAGTGCACTTGGCACAGAGCACAAGCGGGCAGTTCAGCTAGTTTAGCCTGTGGGGTCAAGGGTTTCATAACTTTTCCCCTAGTCTGCTTCAAGGTTCCCCTTTTACATTGTTGCAGCTTTTCCCGGAATTTACAGAACACTTGGCGATTTTATCTTGGCAAATCCCAAGACTGCTGACTTCTTGTTCAGTGGGTGAGGTCAACGCCCCCTCCCCCCCCCCCCCCCGTCCCTCATTCCACCACCACCCCCCCAGGCAGCTATCCTTCCTGCCTAACATCCCCCCTCAAGTGACACCTGTCAATGCTTTGAGGGCTTCAGAGACTTCATCTGAGGGCGCAGGTAGCATTAGGTGGGTCTTGTTCTCTATGTCCCCAGGCCGGTGACCTAAGCTAAGTGTTTTCTGGGTAAGCCAGAGTACCATCGCCTCTCCGTGCGGCAGCCCAGCTCCTCTTGCTTAATAAGTTACAAAAGGATTTTGTGGCTGCAGGTTGCTCTCACTGTAGAGTCTCCCTTTGTCCTTTAATAACAGAACCCCAAGCTTTAGCGGGACTCATGAAAACCCAAACGAAAACTACATTTCCCCGTCTCCCTTGCAGCTAGCTACAGTCATGTGTACGAGTTTTTGTTTTTTTTTCAAGCAAACATAGTTCATGCTGCCTGTAGGTCATACCCTTTGCAGACTAAGTCAGTCCAATCAGGATCCATCTTGGGGTGTTTGCTAAGAATCCTGGGACAGAGATATTCCCTCTCTCTAGAAGGCACCACATGCATGTGTGAGGTGGATTTGTGGGTAAGAGCCTGCTCCAGAGCAACAGGCCTGGGTCCAAAACCCGGTCCCACCCTTACTGTGAACCCTTGAGAAGGATTATTGAGCCTCACCTCCCTGTTTGTGAAATGGGGATGATTGTATATTACCTTGCTGTAACAGTGAGTTAATACAGATTAGAGAGCACTTTGTATAATGTCTGGGACGTAAGTTGTCAGTTAACCCTAGCTGTTTTCTGTTTTTCTTTTTAAATATATTTTATTGATTTTTTTTTTTTTTTTTTTTTTTTACTGAGAGGAAGGGAGATGGATAGAGAGCTAGAAACATCAATCAGCTGCCTCCTACACACCCCTACCGGGGATGTGCCAGCAATCAAGGTAAATGCCCTTGACCGGAATCAAACCCGCGACTTTTCAGTCCGCAGGCCGACGCTCTATCTACTGAGCCAAACTGGTTTCAGCAATCATGCTACATTTTAATGTCAAGTGCTTTCTCTCAGCATCAGTGATGAGCTGGTTTTGACACAGTTCTTTGTTGCCCCGCTGGGATGCTCACTGACCTCCCCATTCCTTTGGGGTGACTCTGCCAACAGGGGACAGGTTCCTTCCCATTCCACTGCATGTCACTGTACATGTCCATGTACAACACAGACGTGGCTCTGCCAGTGAACACAGCATGACCGTATTTGTCATGGAAATCCAGTGTCCGCTCTGGTGGGCCTGTTCGCACTGAGACGTCTTAGCAAGTGTTGGGTCCATGGAAACTTCTTGAAGCTGAAGACGGAACTGTAGCAACGGCAGCTGCCGGTTTGTTGGAACTCCGCGCCAAGCACCCTTTTATTTATAGACTAGAGGCCCAGTGCACAAAGTTCGTGCACGGGGTGGGGGTGTCCCTCAGCCCAGCCTGCACCCTCTCCAATCTGGGACCCCTCTAGGGATATTCAACTGCCTGTCGGACATCCCTCTCACAATCCAGGACTTCTGGCTCCCAACTGCTCACCTGCCTGCCTTCCTTATTGTCCCTAACTGCTTCTGCCTACCAGCTTGATCACCCCCTAACCACTCCCATGCCAGCCTGATTGATGTCTAACTGTTCCCCTGCCAGCCTGTTTGCCCCCAACTTCCCTCCTCTGCCAGCCTGGTCACCCCTAATTGCCCTCCCCTGCAGGATTGATCGCTTCCAACTGTCCTCCCCTGCAGACCTGGTCCCTCCCAACTGCCGTCCCCTGCTGGCCATCTTGTGTCCACATAGGGGCAGGATCTTTGACCAAATGGGGGCAGCCATATTGTGTGTTGGAGTGATGGTCAATCTGCATATTACTCTTATTAGATAGGATAGAGGCCTGGTGCATGGGTGGGGGCCAGCTGGTTTTCCCTGAAGGTTGTCTTGGATCAGGGTGGGGGTTCCCTTGGGCTGTGGGGTGGCCTGGGCGAGGGGCCTGTGGTGGTTTGCAGGCCAGCCACACCCCCTGGTGACCCAAGTGGAGGCCCTGGTATCTGGAATTTACCTTCCACAATTGAAAATGTAGCCTGGAGCAGAGCTAAGCCTCCTGCTAGCTCCGTGGTGGCAGCCATTTCTGTTTGGATTTGTTTACCTTCTATAATTGAAACTTTGTATCCTTGAGTGGAGGCCTAGGCCGGCCAGGGCAGGTGGAAAGCTTGGCTTCCTCCATTGCCAGAGGAAACCCTAGCTGTTCTCTCCAGCTCTGTGGTTGCTGCATTTTTCTTGAGATTTATCTTTTATAATTGAAACTTTGTATCCTTGAGTGGAGGCATAGGCGGCCCAGGGTGTGTGGAAAGCTTGGCTTCTTCTATTGCCAGGGAAGCCAAAGCCTCTCAACTGCTCTCTGTGGCTGCAGCCATCTTGGTTGGGATTAATTTGCATACTCACTCTGATTGGCTGGTGGGCGTAGCAGAGTGATGGTTAATTTGCATATCGCTGTTTTATTATGTAAGATTAGGTAGGATATACTTGCAGTAGAAAGAGAACTGGCTGATTCTCCCAGGGGTACCCTCGGACAAGTCAGGGAGCTCTCTGAGCCTGTTTCTTTATCCGTAAAGAGGAACTGGTCACCTCTCTGAGCAGCGGCATCAGCGCACTCGGCGCCTCTCCAACCGCACACGGGCATCTGAGCATCCACACTTCACGCACATCCTCACAAGTCCTCCCCCAGTGGCCCCCCTCCCCCTCGCACAGTGCTCACATAGTCCCTCTCAGTCCGTCCTTCCACACTGCCTCACTCCAGGTGCATTCTTCAGCTCTGCCGCTTCCACACAGCCCTCCAGCCCACCCCACACATCCCACCCCATCCCTTCCCAAGCTCTGCCCTGAGGCCGCCAGCCTCCTCCCTGGCCAAACCCCAGGGGAAACTCTCCCCAGCCTCCCCTTCACAGGCCCAGAGGGGGTGAGCGCCACCGGGTTCCCTCTGCCAGGAAATGCACAGAGGCCAGGGCCGGAGAGTGACTTTAATGTGTCTGAGCTGGACTGGGAACAAGATGGGGCCTCCGAGGCCGCTGGCCCAGGGAGCGGAGGAGGACGGCCGTGTCCCCGCATCGTCCTAAATCATAGAGCACCGGCGGGGACAGCTCGGGTCCTTGGGAATGCAACGCAAGCCCATGCGGCAGGGGCATATGATGTTGATGTCCCCCTTGGTCTGTGGGAAGTGAGTGTGAGAGTTGGGGTCACCAAGCTTCCGGAAAGAAGGGCGTTTAAACTTCTCGAGGAGCACAAGTCATGTGAGTGGGACCTGAGGCCTGTCAGCTCTGCAGCTTATACCTTCAGGCCTTAGGCAACTTTGTCTCCGTTTCCTCATCAGAGGAGCTAATCATTGTGACCCACCTCCTACGGCTACTAAGGATTAAATGAAATAAGTTTGATCAAGTGCTCACAATGAAAAGACCCTCTGGCCACCTCTGCGAGAGTCAGGCCAGGGCGGGGCCTGGCTGCTCCCACGGGCACTGGCTGGCACCTCCCAGACAGGACCTCGCGGGCCGGCCGGGCCAGAGGAGAGGAGGCGGGCAGGAACAAGATGTACTGTGCACGCTGACCCCCCTCCCAAACCCCCTCTCCCCGTTTCCACCAGCTAATAACCAGCATGCGCAACTGAGCTGTCGCTGCCAGGAACACATCCTCTTCCCAACAACCTGGTGGGGGAGGTCTGTAACCCCATTTTACAGATGAGAAAACCAAGGCCAGAGAACAGAAGTGCCCTGTCTGAGGGCTCTGCCACTGAGAGCCTGCTGCTCTCCCGAGTGAGGTCAGGGTGGCAGGGGTGGGGGTCGCTGGGGAGAATGTCTTTCCCACCCTGCCTCAGATGTTCATTCAACACACATTTGTTGCTCGGGCACTAAGCTGAGGGGTGGGGGCTCAGAGATGAGTGTGCTGCCATCTGTCCTTGAACGGCTCTGAGCGCCGCTGCCGCTGCCGAGGACTCAAACGCATGGCCATCAGAGAGGCCGGCCCTGTGGAGGGTCTGGGCCCGGCGGGATTCCAAGGAGAGAAGGCCTGACAGGGAGTGGCCGGCAGTGCAGGAGGAGGAGTTTGCCAGGAGGAGGAGGAGGGCACCCGGGTGAAGAAGCCGGGCAGCCATGTGGGCTCTTATCCTTCACCCCAGCGCCTCACCTGGGGCAAGCACACCATGCTTTTCCTGCCCTTGGGGGCACAGAAGTCACCTTCGGTGTCCAAGTTCATGAGGCAGCAGTCGCTGGAGCACTCCAAGTGGTGGGAGCACGGAGCTCCATCCCTCTGTGGGGAAGCCCTGCATCACCAGCTCTCCCCGGAGGGCGGGGAGGGCGGGGGAGGGCAGGGGAAGATGGGGGGGGGGAGCAGGTGGGGGAGGGCGGGAGGAAGGTGGGGGAGGACGGGGGAAGGCGGGGGGAGATGGGGAAGGGCGGGGGAAGCTCTTGCCACAGCCCAGGGTGGGAGAAGAGAAGCCCTGAGATGTCACTCCCAGGGGCCACCCCACAGCGTGCCCCTGCCCCAGCGCTCACCTCCCTCTCCTTCCCGGAGCCTCATTGCCGCGGGCCCCAGAGGGTGACCTGAGCTGGGGAGCAGGGACCCCAGATCACACTCCAGGGGGGTGTGCAGACAGTCGGGAGAGAGAGAGCTGGGAAAGGGAGGAGAGCTCACTGCGCCCAGAAGCGGGGGACAGGGGGGGACAGAGCAGGTGGGTGAGGCGCGGCGGGGACCCGGCGCTGGGAGGGGGCGCTGGGAAGCGGGCGCTGGGAGGGGGTGCCGGGTGCGGGTCCGGCTGGCCACAGGCGCTGCCTTTGTCCCGGCGCCCCGGGAGGTGAAGGGCCGGGGCGCGGGGAGCCCGTCCAGCCGCCGGCCCGGCCGCAGCCGGGTCTGCGGGTCCCCCCCCCCCGCCCCGAGGCTCCCTCCCCCCCCCCCGCGGCGGGCGCACCTTCAGGCTGCTCTGCCTCCGGAACAGGGAGCCCCCGCAGGGGAGCAGCAGCCACGCCAGGATGGCGAGCGCCGTGGCCATGGCCGTGGCCGCGGGATGGAGCGCCTCCGGGGCACGGGACCCGGAGGGGGTGCGGAGCCGATCCCCGGGGTGAGGGCGGGGACGGTGGGCCGGAGGGGGTGCGGGGGTCACCGGGGTGAGGGCGGGGCCGGCGGGCCGGAGGGAGGAGCAGAGCCGGTCCCGGGGTGAGGGCGGGAACGGCGGGCCGGAGGGGGTGCGGGGGTCCCCGGGGTGAGGGCGGGGACCGCGGCCGGAGGGGGTGCGGAGCCGGTCCGGGGTGAGGGCGGGGCCGGCACCCGCCGCCCAGCGCGGAGGCGAGCCCCGCGGCCTGCCCAGTCCCGGAGCGGAGGGCCGGGAGCACGGAGCCCGCTCAGCCTGGGACGGGCCTGACTGTATAGATTGGGGGCCCCAGGGCCTCCTAGATATCGCTTCCAGAGAAAAACTTAAAGCTGTAACGGAAACTTGCTCCTGAAAATTTTTGCAAAACGTATAAACCGAAATGGAAACCGCTTCCTTCTTGGTATTCTGACCCTCCGTCTGCGGGCGCACCCTCCCCTTCGGGGTGACCCGGCCCAGACCCTCCCCGCCCGCCTCGCCAGCTGAGACTCCCCCTCCTGAGTCACCGCCTGTCCAGGGATCTGCCTGTGAGGTGTGGGGGTGAGGGGGAAGGAGAGAGGAACCGCAGGGGGAGGAGGAGGGCCAAGGGCGATCCGGACCTGGGCAGCAGCCTTTCCCGGGACCAAGCTCCCACCTCGCCCAGCTGCCTGCTCCTGCCCTGGCCGGTTTGGCCCAGCGGATACACAGCCTCTGCCCGTGGACTGAGGGGTCCCCCCTTGATTCCGGTCAAGGGCACCACCCTGGTACCTGGGCTCTGGTCAGGAGTGCGTTTGGAGGAACCAATAGATGTGTCTCTCTCACATGGATGTTTCTCCCCTCCACTCTCTCTAAAAATCAATGCGAGAATGTCCTCTGGTGAGGATTAACAAAATAAATAAGTGCTCGAAAGAAAAGATGGGAGGAGCTCTGTCTCTCCCTCCCCCCCCCCAACTTGTTTTTCAAGATCCACACCACCAGTGCAGTGGGTCCCTCGCGGGAGGCCGCAGCTCCTGTGGCAGTGGCTGCACACGGTCAGAGCTGGGCACGGCCAGCATGGCCCACTGGTTGAGCGTTGACCTATGAACCAGGTGTGTTGATTCCAGATCAAGGCACTGGTTGGGTCCCCAGTGGGGGGCATGCAGGAGGCAACTGATCCATGGTTCTCATCCTTGATGTTTCTATCTCTCCCTTCCTCTCTGAAATCAATAAAAATATGCATATTTTAAAGAGTTGGGGTGTTGGAGGGCAAAAGCTAGGCCCACTTTTCTGGACTTCAGGATGGTACCAGCCCCCACCCTGCCCACCAGCAAAATGCCCACTAGCCCTGGGTACTGTGAGGACAGAGGCCCCTAACGTGCCTCAGTGCCTGGCACCTCTTGGGTGCTCCCTAAGTCAACTGTTGAATGCGTCAAATGGGGGTGAAACATGCCCTTGGCAGCCCCTCAGATCCTGGAATTCAGCCCCTGAGGGTGGGGCCCATAGCCCTGGGCCCCCTGAGTACTTGTCAAGTCAACTAAGTGGAAGTTATTTCCCAGGCCCCAAGCTGGTACCAGCAGGGACAGGTCACTGGGTTACAGGAAACGAGCCAGGTGTCACCACACACACCACCATCACTCATTGGGAGGCAGCCCTGGGCTTCCTGCAGCCTCTATGAGCATCTCCGTGAATTCCAATGGTTAGATTAACCACTCAGGAAATGTGGATGGTCCCAGCAGTCACTAGCCCAGTGGTCCGCAAACTCAGTAATCAACAGAGCCAAGTATCAACAGGACACAGAGAAGGGAGCTGTCTGCTAGTCGGAGAGAGCTCTTACCCAAACCCGCCATGCCGACCCCCTGATCTCGCTTCCAGCTTCCAGACCTGGGAGGAGAAGAGTCTCTCGTTTAAGCCACCCCGTCTGTGGAGTTTTGCTGTGGCAGCTGAGCTGTCTATTTGGCCTTTTCTTTAGGAATAGCAGCCTGCCCGGCTGGTGTGGCTCAGTGGTTGAGCACTGACCGATGAACCAGGAGATCACGGTTCAATTCCCCACATGCCCAGGTTGCAAGCTTAGTCCTCAGTAAGGGTGTGCAAGATGCAGCGGATCAATGATTTTCTCTCATCGTTGATGTTTCTATCTCTCTCCCTCTTCTCTGAAATCAATAAAAATATTTTTTTTTTTTAAAGAAGAACAGCCCCACAGTTCTGAGAGGGTTTTGTGTCCATTACCTCAATCCGTCTTCCTTGCATTAGGGTAGTCAACGCTAGTGGTCACAACTGAGAACTCCTGAAGGCACAGAGATGCCTTCTTTGCCTCAGTGGAGTGTGAGATGGGGCGGAGACCGTTCTCCCACCTGCAGCCATGCCAACCATGGTCATCGTGGAAGATGGAAGAGACAGAGGGAGGGACACAGGGACCCTTGAAGGCTCAGCCAGTGTGCCACAGGTCTCTTCCGCAGACCACCCGCCAGAACTGGTCACATGACCCCACCTTCTGCAAGGGAGGCTGGGCAGTTACGGGAATCTGGAACATTTGGTTTACTCTATCATTTCTGCTTCATAACTCGTATGCCCACCTACAGATGAGGGTCAAGGTTGAGCAACAGGCCCTAACAGCACAAAACATTACAGAGTCAGCTATAACCCGCAGGTGCGCTAGCTGCTGAGCCTATGCTCTTCCCACACCCCTCCACCGCCTCGGGCGGCCAGAAGGCCATGTCCCCAGTGCTGTCATCGCTGTGTCCCTCTAGCAGTCACAGTGTGAGACTCTTCAGACCAGGGCCTGCCGCGGAGGTCAGCTGTTCACCTGTCCGTGAAGTTCGCTGTGTCTTCCACCTCCGCTGAACTGGCCAGGAGCCCCGGGCTAATAAATCTCTGCACAGATCACTCCGCACAGTCACTCTGCACAGTCACTCCGCCCTGCGCATTTGGTCCTGCCGCCGTGCGTGGGAGGAACTGGAAAGTAGTGCTGACTGCTCAGTAAAGGGAGGATTTGGAGGCCAGGGCCAGCAGCTGTGTCTTAATGGGCAGGTTGGGGTCCTTGATCTGGGGGCCAGGGGCCCCTGGGAAGTTTATTGAAGGCCCAGAGGGGGGTGTCTTTGCAATTCTCGGCAAAACATCTTATGCATGGCTTTAACAAATTATTTTTTAATGTATTTCTTTATTGATTTCAGAGAGGAAGGGGGAAGAAGAGACAGAAACATCAACCATGAGACAGAATCATTGATCGGCTGCCTCCTGCATGCCCCCTACTGGGGAGCGAGCCCTCAACCCAGGCATGTGCCCTTGGCCAGAACTAGACCGGAGACCCTTCTGTCCGCAGGCCAACGCTCTATCCATTGAGCAAAGCTGGCCAGGGCAACCAATTACTTTTGGCAGAGGACTGCAGTTCTCCTTGAGACCAGTTCACAGTGTTGATTTTAAGGTGAGGAAACCGAGGCCCAGAGAAGGAAGGGCCTTCCCCCAGTGACTCAGCACAGCCAGGCCTCCCCCCTCCCCACTGCCCGGCTCCCGGCTCCGAGTCCTGCGCTCTTTCTCCCGGGCCAGCAGCCTGTCCAAACTGGCTGGTGCTGGCTGCAAGCATGAGCCCGGACACCTCTGCACCGTGAGGAGGGCGGGAGCAGGTCACAGGGTCTCTGGGCCAAAGGGGTGGTTGCTGAGCCACTTGACCTGTGGATGTGGCCACAGCTCTGCCGGTTGGTCAGGGCCCAAGCCTGGCCACCCCAGCCTTGTATGAGAGAATGGGGGCAGCTCAGGTCAGGGGAGCCCCTCCTGGGAGACTGTTACCCCGTCCTATTCCCTGTCCTTTCCCCTCCCCTCCTCTGACATTCTCCAGGGACTCTTTTTCTTTCTTGCTTCTTTCTGGTGGTTTCCATGACAATGTTCTTACTGGTCTACAGCAAAATGGAAAAAAAAATAATAATAAGGGTAATTTTTTGGTTAAAAATAAATGTATTGAACTTAAATAATGATCCTTCATTCTGAACTTACATCCTCCCTACTTCTCAGGGGTCACTATGTTTCTATGAAACAATGGCAATAGCCCAACGGTCCTTTTGTTCGGTTTTCCATGTCATTGCGTGGTTGTTATGTATGGTGTTAAATATATAAAGTGAGAGAGATTCCCCATAGTTTAGGAAAGTTTTCTTGGTCTGAGAAACCCACAATAAAACCCTGAGAACGGAGACCGCTGTGACCCAGCGCGCTCCTGGCGGCGACCTGGGCGAGCGCCGCAGGGCCCGGGCCATGACCAACGGCCCCTCTCTCTCTCTCTCACTCTCTCTCTCTCTCTTTCTCTCTCTCTCTCTCTCTCTCACACACACACACACACACACACACACACACACACACTGCAAGGGTCCGGGCTCAGAACACATCTTACTGCTTTCCAGGACAGGCTGAGAAGGGAAGGGGCTGTTGGCTCAGCGGAGGAGGAAGACCTGGAGGGAGAGGACAGAGCCAACTGACCAGCAGCCCCTTGCAGACCTAGCCAGGCCCTCGGGCCCTGGGGCTTCTGCCTGGAGGACAGAGGTGGGCAGCCATACCTGGCGGGCACTGCCCCCACCCATGGAAACGGATTGAGCTCCTCAGAGGGAATCCTCACCACCTCCATGTTCAGTCCACAGTGGGCTCCACACAGCAGAGGGGTGCCCCAACCTGGTGCCTACCCACACTGCCTGAGTGCAGGGCGCATGCATAGACTCACTGACACAGATGGCCCAACTCTCCTCCTGCTCAGTGAGTTTCTGGTCCATGTTAATCCTCAGCCCATCGCCCACTTCAGGAAGCCAGGAGATAATCATGATTCCTTTAGCTGCAAATGAAAGAAGCTAACTTTTTTTTAAAAAATATGTTTTTTTATTGATTTCAGAGAGGGAGAGTTAGAAACATCAATGATGAGAGAGAATCATTGATTGGCTGCCTCCTGCACATACCCTACTAGGGATCAAGCCCACAACCTAGGCATGTGCTCTTGACCAGAATTGAACCCAGAACTCCTCAGTCCACAGGCCAGTGCTCTATCCACTAAGCCAAACCAGCCAGGGCACAAACGAACTTACCTATATATATAAAAGGCTAATATACAAAGTGTCCCCTCAGGAGCTGGACCAGGAGTTCAATCACTCACTGTGACTTGTGCTGACCACCAGAGACTCAGAATGAAGGAAAGCCCCAGCTGGCAGCTGGAAGGTCCTGATCGGCCCTGATCACAGGTCAGGCCTAGGGACCCTACCCGTGCACGAATTTTGTGCACTGGGCCTCTAGTTTAAAAAATAAAAACCAAAAGAAATAATCCTGGGTCAGCAGCTACATGAGGCTGGCTTCAGGGTCCCAGAGACACACATTGCTGACACCAGATGTCTTTCTCCTTGGCTTCAGCCTTCACAGTCATCCTCATTCTCTGCCTTTCTGGGCAGGGGGTGGGGAGGGCAAAGCTGTACAAAGCCACTAGCATCTCCCTTCAACACCCATACGTAAAACCCTAGATAACTTTGGCCCAAGTTAGGCCAATCATGTGGCTGAGGCTGGGGGACTGGGGGGCTGGGGACTGGGGCAGCGGGTACTAGGGGGATAGGGACTGGTATTAGCAGGACCTCCTGGAACCTGGGCAGAGCAGGTTCCCAAAGGCAGGGAGATGTGGGTCCTCATGGGAATGGAGGCAGAAGGCAGAAACACAGGTGTCTGCAACATCCTGAGGCTGCTCTGGGTGAGTTACAGACATGCTCCTTTAGCCAGGGGCAAAGGAGGGCCCTCAGAAACCTGAGCCACTGCCTCCCGCCCCAAAATGCTCCATAGACCAGTAGAATTCAACCACTTCTTATTTTAAATTACAAAAGATATATTTTATGCTGGCATTCAGACAACCAGTAGATACTGTTAGCTCGATCCCCACTGGGGGGCGTGCAGGACTCAGCCCGCTGATGCTTCTCTCATCGATGTTTCTCTCTCTCTCTCTCTCTCTCTCTCTCTCTCTCTTTCTCTCTCTCTCGCTTTCCCTTCGTCTCTCTGAAATCAATAAAGACATATTTTTTTTAAAAAATAAAGTCACTGTTTTTACTCCTTCCCTCCATGTTTATGTTTTTGTCATTATTTTTTACTTACTTTGTGTGTGTCGGTGTGTACCCCTTAATTGGCTGTTGTAATTACACATCATCTTCCTACTTTTGCCCATTAACCTTTGTACTAGTGTCAGTGTTGACTGATCCACTGCTTTTATTATGTTTGTCTTTGTCAATGAGAATATTCTTTGCAACATTTTGTTATGCAGATTTTTTATTTATCTTTATTTTTGTTCTCCTTAAGAAGAAGTCCCTTTAGCATTTCCTATAATGCCGGTTTGGTGGTGGTGAACTCCTTCGCTTTTTCTTGTCTGGGCTTGATATGCTGTTTTGTCATAATTTGTTCACAGCAACAAAGAACCACCCACACCCTCCCCACCTCATTGCCCACTGCCAGCTCTCCTGTCATTACCACCAGCCAACTGTTACCAGGTGCCTGCCCAGAGCAGGCCCACTGCTAAAATAACAAATTTGGCCCTGACCGGTTTGGCTCAGTGGATAGAGCATCAGCCTATGGACTGAAGGGTCCCAGGTTCGATTCCAGTCAAGGAAATGTACCTTGGTTGCGGGCACATCCCCAGTGGGGGGAGGAGGCAGCTGATTGATGTTCAGACTCTCTGGCCCTCTCCCTTCTTCTCAGTAAAAAATCAATGAAATACATACATATATTTTTTTAAATTTATTTTTTTTAAATAAATTAAGATTCAAGCTTTAATTTGCCCAATGCCCAGAGAGAGGTTCACATGAGAAGGGCCGCAGGCAGCAGCACAGGCTGCCGTGGGAGACGTCGGCAGCCCAGTGCAAAGGGGAGAGAGGGGCGTTGAGGCGGGGAGAAGCTGGTCACGGCTCAGCCAGACTGGCTCCTGCGGAGTGGCTGGAGATGAGACCCGGCCTGGGAGGCTAGGGGCAGGCACGGTGGCCAGATGGTGAAGGGCCTGACATGCACAGCTAATTCCTCTGCGACTACCATGATAACTGGGGCCCAATGGCCATATCTCCTCGAACCATGGTCGGCAAACTGCGGCTCTGAGCCACATGTGGCTCTTTGGCCCCTTGAGTGTGGCTCTTTCACAAAATACCGTGGCCTGAGTGAGCCTATTTTAAAGAAGTGGCCTCAGAAGAGGTTTAAGTTTAAAAAATATGGCTCTCAAAAGAAATTTTAATCGTTGTCCTGTTGATATTTGGCTCTGTGGACTAATGAGTTTGCCGACCGCCGCCCTAGAACAAAACTCCACCTGCTTTGGCTGTAAGTGCATGTATACTTGCGGGGTCACGTGGCTTAGCTTTGGGGTGAGGAAAGGTTCGCTGTGGCAGTGGGGAGCCCCGGAGGTTTTTGAGGATGATGCGATGTGGGACTAAGAGTATCCTGGAGTGATGGAGACCAGAAGTCGGAACCTCACTGCCCCAGTCCTGATGTCAGGATCCGGGGAGCACCCGTGGACACTGGAGACCCGGGCAGCGGTGAGATGTTCAGAATGGCTGCTTGGCTGGGTGGGAGGAGCAGTGGAAGGTGAGGTCCAGTCCCCAGCTGGTGTCATGGGACCACAGGGAGCTGGCTGAGAGCGGCCCTGGTCGGGGATCCTGCAGGAGGCAAACTGATAGATGTGTTTCTCTCACATTTTCTGTCTGTCTTTCCCTCTCTCCCTAAAAATCAATGGAAAAATAGTCTCAGGTGAGGATTAACCAAAAACAAAACAAACAAACAAAAAACAGCCCTAATTGGTTTGGCTCGGTGGATAGAAAGTAGGCCTGCGGACTGAAGGGTCCCACGTTCGATTCCAATCAAGGGCATGTACCTTGGTTGCTGGCACATCCCCAGTGGGAGGTGTGCAGGAGGCAGCTGATCAATGTTTCTCTCTCATCGATGTTTCTATCTCTCTATCCCTCTCCCTTCCTCTGTAAAAAAGCAATAAAATATATATTTAAAAAAAAAAAAAAACAAGACTAAATGGCTCTAATCCTCTTTGTGCCCCAGACCAGTCATGTGACCTTGAGCAAGTCAGTTTCCCTATTTGGGCTTGTTTTCCCTTCAGCAAAACTGCCAGGCTTGGCCTGGGACTAGATGGTGGCTTTCAAACCTGCCTCTGAAGGACAGTGGGTCCCAGAGCTGGTCAACAGGATCCGCCTTCTAAACCAAGGAGCAGCAGACTGCGACCGGCTCCCATTGCAGGCCCTTCTCCCATAATGCTGTCTGACGCCAGCCGCAGCCGGCACTGCGCTGTGGGCCGGCCGGGAAGGGATGAAGGTGGGAAATGCAGCGCGTGGCCAAACCTGAGTGGTGCCAGGCGGCTGGCAGTCTCCCTGTGACGGAGACTTCACGGTGCGGGTTTGTTTGCACATGCACTCTGCTTCCTGCGGCATTTCCGGGCGCTTCGCAGAGGACTCTGGGACTCCGGGGTGCCCGTTACCCAAAGGGACTGGAGAGACATCGGACTCAGCGCTCCCCAAGGGCCTTTCCACGGCTAATCTTCCATTTTCTCAGCGAGCGTTTCCTAGCTCCTCGGAGACTGATACTCATTAACTCAGGTAATCCCCATAGGATCTTCCCAACAGCTTCACAAGATAAGTACTATTACCATATTCTTTTATTTTTTATTGATTTTGACCAGCATTGAACCTGGTCAATTGTAAAAACTTATTATTTTTTCTTAGTGTTTGTTTGTTTTCCAGAGGGGAAAGGAGTGGGAGAGAGAGCCAGAAACATCAATGATGAGAGAGAATTATTGATCGGCTGCCTCCTGCACGCCCTGCACTGGGAATCGAGCTCACAAGCTGGGCATGTGCCCTGACCAGGAATCGAACCGTGACCTCCTGGTTCCTAGGATGATGCTCAACCACTGAGCCACAGCAGTGGGGTGTGGTTGAACGTTTAAGAGCCAGTGATCACCGCCACACTTCCTTTGCCAACTCTAGGAGTTGCAGAAGCACAGTGAAGAGCCCCCCTCAGCCTGCCTGAGAGAAGATGGTTTAAAACACTCGCCTGCCCTTCCATGCACCCACTACCCCCAACCCATGGACACAGAGTGTGAATGAGAAGTAACCTTGATTTTTTTTTAAGCTGCTAACATTTGGAGGTCGTTTGTTACTGCAGCGAAGCCTCGCCCATCCTGAGTAACCCAACGTTACACCGTCTGTTGTTGATTACCTTTGGCGTCAGCCCCCAAATCTGCCTTCTCCCGGAAGCTCCCTGGGAGCACGGGCTCCACACTGCGACCTGACAAGCAGGGAGAGAAAAGGGAGCCTGTCCCCGAGCAGGCGAGTGGGGTGTGTTCTGGGAGAGGTGCCAGCCTTTGTCACGCTCTGGGCTAGGCTGGGTGAGATCGCCACCAGCCCTGAAGGCCCCGGACAGACACTGCTCCTCAGGCTTCTCTCCCATATTCATTTATTGGCTCTCCTTACTTTTATTCCGCATTCTTAAGGTAGGAATGACGGGAAAAGCAGGAGGAGCACTGCCCTCTTATGTCCTGGGGGCACTGCAGGCTGACTATGACCTTGCAGGCCTGGATCTGAACCTCCTCCTCCGGGTGGATGACCAGGGCGAGCAGCCGGTCAGCCAGTCGTGACTTTTCCCCAAAGAGAGCTTCGTGCAGAGACTTTTCGTTGTAATGCCATTTCACGGCGCGGTAGTGTGGCGTATTCCGGCCTTCACTCAGCCGCTCGGCAAACACCAGTACCTCGAACAACAGACTCCCGGATTGTTTGGACTGGAACAGATTCAGAAAGTTGGCGTGCACCTGTGATGGGGATGAAGAGAGGGTGGCAATGAAATCCCAGACAAATCCTAAAGTTCTTCCATCTTCCTATTACCTCAACTCCTAATTTCAGAGTCAACTGTACAGGAGCATTTTAATTTTCATTATCATCTATATATATAAAAGCCTAAGTGACCATAATGACCAAAGGACCGGAATCACCAGTCACTATGACATGCACTGACCACCAGGAGGCAGACACTCAACAAAGGAGCTGCCCTGTGGTGGTCATGCACTCCCACAGCGGGAGCACCACTCAGCCAAAAAGCGGGTGGCGGTGGAGCCAGAATGAGCCTGCCACTTCGGCGCTGCCACATCCCCCAGGAGTCCAGATTGTGAGAGGGCACAGGCCAGGCTGAGGGACCCACTTGTGCACAAATCCATGCACCGGCCTCTAGTTCTCTAACATAATTATCTTGTGGTCATAAAACTTGAGTTATTTGGTAATGACATTGATTCTGGGAAATATGTCGTGACAAACTTCAAGGTTTAATGTGTGGTTAATTTGTATAAATGTTTGGTGTGTTTGAGAGGAATGTGCATTTACTAATTACAGAGCATTCTGAGGATGTCTCAAGCTGGTTTGTGTTATTCTCAGCAAGTATACCCTTAACTAGTTTCAGGATTTTATCTATTAATTGCTGAAAGAGTAAAATCTTCCAAGTCTCCCACTGTGGTAGTAGATTTGTCAGTTTTTCTTTATAATTATTCAGCTGTGAGAAAGAAGGAAATCCTGCTAATTTGTGACATCATGGATGGACCCTGAGGACCTTATACTAAGTGGGATAAGCCAGATAGAGAAAGACAAACAATATGTGGTATCACTTTTATTTTTACGTGGAATCTTTAAAACAAAGATAAGTCAGAAAGAACCACCAAGATGGCAGCGTAGGTAACCACCTGTACGCACTGCCTCCTACAGTCACATCAAAATTCCAACTAAAATGCAAAACCACCATTGTTCAGAACTGCCTGAAAGCTGGTTGAATGAAGCCCTATAACTAGAGGAGAAGAATGCATATCAAGACTGGCAGGAGGGGCAGAGGCACTGCATGGATGAGTCCCGCACCCACAGTGCTATTTTTTCAGTCGGGAGGAAGATTGTCTCTGCAAAGACTGCCCATGAGAAGCAGGGGGTCCCAGCCCCACACTGGAACCCAGACCAGAGTTGCAGAGCTGAGAAGAGAAGTCCCTGTAACTTTGGGCTGTAAAAATCAGTGAGAATTGTGGCTGAGTGACATGTAAGATGCTAGAGTCCCAGGTAGTCCTCTTAAAGGGCCTGCACACAAACTTAAACTGCCCCAAATTCTGAGCTCCAGCACCAGGGGATCCAGACACATATGGGGAGGAACTGGATGGTATGGCATTGGGGCAGGAACTCGAGGGTGGATTTCTCTCAGACAGGGTTGCTCAAAAGATCCCTTGCTGGGATCTTCCTTGTCACAGGGCTGAGTGGCAGCCATATCTGAGTTTCCATCAGCCTGTTTCACCCTGTTTGCTCTACTCTGGGGATTCCCTGAGACTCGGCCCCACCCAATTTGTAGCCCCACCCAAACTTTTCCATATGAATGGCCCATCCTGGCTCAGCCTTCAGACTTTGCTAAAATCTTTCGAACAAGCTGCAGCTGGAGACAGCATGCCCCAAACTTATCAGTAAAAGGCTCAAGACTGGACAGTAGCACCAACCTGCCTTCTTCACACCTGGGCCTCATCTCCTGCACAGAAGTTCTCCCACTGTAGTCACAGCTGGTCCTCACAGCCAACTGGCCTAGAGGTCAACTCCTCCTAGTGACACCAACAGCAATCAAGGCTCAACTATAAGACTGTGCACACAGCCCACACAGAGGTGCCCCTAGAGTCTGTCAGGTGTCTGGGGAGACTGAGACACTGGGCCCTACTGCACACCACACAATTCCAGGAGACATACTATCTCTCTCTACCTAATACATAGAAACAAACACAGGGAAGCACCCAAAATGGGGAGACAAAGAAACATGTCACAAATTAAAGAAATGGAAGCAAGCAAACTACTGTATAGAGTGTTCAAACCATGGTTATAGGTTACTCAAGGATCTTCATGAGACTTTCAGGGATCTTAGTGAGAATGTCAAAGACATGGAAAAGAACCAGTCAGAAATTAAGCATACACTAAAAGATAAAAAATAATTAACAGGATTCAACAGTAGAGTAGAGAATTCCGAGAACCAAATCAATGGTTTGGGATATGAGGAAGCAACAAACACCCAGCCAGAACAGCAAAAAGAAAAAAAAAAATCTAAAAATATGAAGCAAGTGTAAGTAGCCTTTGGGACAACTTCAAGCATACCAAAATGTGCATCATGGGGGTGCTGGAAGGAAATGAGAGAAAGCAAGGTATTGAAAACCTATTTGAAGAAATAATAACAGAAAATTTCCCATCCCTGTGAAAGAAACAGACTTACAAGTCCAGCAAGTACAGAGAGTTCCAAACAAGAGGACTCAAAGAGACCCACACCAAGACACATCATAATTAAAATGCCAAGGGTTAAAGACAAAGAGAGAATCTTAAAAGCAGCCAGAGAAAACAGCAAGGGAGCTCCTGTATGACAGTCAGCTGATTTCTCAACAGAAACTTTGCAGGTCAGAAGGGAGTGGCAAGAAATATCCAAAGTGCCGGGACTGGTTTGGCTCAATGGATAGAGCGTCAGCTTGGGGACTGAAAGGTCCCAGGTTCGATTCCGGTCAAGGGCATGTACCTTGGTTGCGGGCATATCCCCAGTAGGGGGTGTGCAAGAGGCAGCTGATCGATGACTCTCTCTCATCGATGTTTCTAACTCTCTATCTCTCTCCCTTCCTCTCTGTATAAAATCAATAAAATATATTAAAAAAAAAAAAGAAATATCCAAAGTGATGAATAGCAAGGACCATAACCAAGATTATTCTACCCAGCAAAGCTATCATTTAGAATTGAGGGTCAGATAAAGAGCTTCACAGACAAAAAAAAAAAAAAAAAAGCTAAAGGAGTTCATCAACACCAAACCAGTATTACATGAAATGTTGAAGGGTGGTTATTGAAGAAGGAGGAGGAAGAGAAAAAGGAGGAGGGGGAAGGGGAGGAAATAAAAAATATGAACAATAAAATGGCAACAAATCAAATCTAAAAAAAAAAAAAAAAAACAAGAAATCTAATGAACAAAAGAAACTGGTGAATAAACACAATCAGAGGCATGGAAGCATGGAACAGACTGACGAATCTCAGAGGGAAGGGGTTGTGGGAGGAAGAGGTTAACTGAAGTCCTTGCCTAAGAAGATAAACAATAGGGTAGTGAAGGCATGGGGTGGGGCAGGAACCAGGTGGAGTGGGGTGATGGGGAAAAGAAGGGGGCATCTCTAATACTCTCAACAATAAAGATTTTTTTTAAAAGAAAAGTCAAAGTCGTAGAAACAGAGATAAATGGTTGTCAGGGGTTGGAAGAGGGGGAAGTAGGGAGCAGTTGGTAAAAGAGTACAAACTTAAAACTATTAAACAAATAAGGTCTGAGGCTTTGTGTAAAACGTGTGGACGATAGTGGATAGACCTGTGTTAGAGCATTGAAATCTGCTAAGAGATTCGAACTTAAATGTTCTCACCACTCCCCGCCCCCAAAAGTAGATATGAGGAATCCTTCACCATGCATACATGTTAATCACCACACTGTATACTTGAACTATCCTACATGTTTATTTGTCAATTTACCTCAACAAAACCAAAGGGGGGAGAAAAAATTTGTTTCCTTGTAATTCTATCCAGTTTTGCCATCTATAGTTTGAGACCATGTTATTAGGTTTATCTAAATTTAGAGTTGCTTTATCCCCTGAACCATTAATTATTATGGTGGTGATCTTCTCTATTCCTAATAATAGCCTTTGTGATAAGTAACTTTTCCCTAATATTAAGGTAACTACAGCCGAAACTGGTTTGGCTGAGTGGATAGAGCGTCAGCCTGCAGAGTGATAGGTCCCGGGTTCGATTCCGGTCAAGGGCACATACCTTGGTTGCGGGCACATCCCCAGTGGGGAATGTGCAAGAGGCAGCTGGTCGATGTTTCTCTCTCATCGACGTTTCTAACTCTCTATCCCTCTCAATTCCTCTCTGTGTAATATATATATATATATATATATATATATATATATATATATATATATGTGTGTGTGTGTATTTATTTATTTATTTAAATATATTTTATTGATTTTGTACAGAGAGGAAGGGAGAGAGATAGTTAGAAACATCGATGAGAGAGAGAGTCATCAATCAGCTGCCTCTTGCACATCCCCCACTGGGGATATGCCTGCAACCAAGGTACATGCCCTTGACCAGAATCGAACCCGGGTCCCTTCAGTCCCCAAGCCGAATATCCATGGAGCCAAACCGGTTTCAGCAATAGTGTTTTGTGTTTTTTTTTTAAGTAACTATATCAACTTCTGTTTTGTCGCCTGTGTTCCTCATTCTCAGAGTTTAGAAAGCCCCTCAAAGGAGAGCCTCCTCCCAACAAAACTGATTCTGACTCTTTGGGGGGGGACAGCGCACAGGCAGGGAAGGAGCACCATGGTCTTGTCAGGGCTACGTCTGTCCGGAGACTTCTTCCCTCCCCAGTATCCGAGGTGGCATCCACCAGCCCCTCAGCGCTCCCTTCCTCACGTGGCAGTTGAGAATATCATAGAGCAGGTCATTCTTCTGTGCCAGGTGGCTCAGCAGTCGTACGGCTTGCACCTAAATAAGGGAAATAGTAAAACAGGAGAAGGCAGGTGAGTGTGGCCTGAGCAGAGAAGACACAGGTCTCTCCTCTGCCCCTCCCCCTCCTCCCCCCCTCTAGATGCTGTGCCAGGGCTGGTCACGGGGCAGGGCCTGGGCCATGGCCTTGAGGCACCTGTGCCAGGTTATAGTCCGACTGGAGAATCTCCATCAGGGCGGGCATCACCCGGCGCAGCTGTGGGTGCAGGAAGTCAGGCAGCGGGAGGTTGTTGAGGAGCCTGAGGCCAGCGATGTGCAGCTCCGAGTCCCAGATGGTGGATATCAGCTCCAGGACCTTGATGAAGTGCTCCTGGGGGGAGAAGGGTCTGCTTTTGTATGACCTCACACTCCCCCGGCCTCTGCCTCCACTCTCCCCGCCCCGCCCAGGACGCCTGAGCCGAACCCAATAGAAAATTCCATCTGACAAACTCGCAGCATCCTTTGACCTCGTTGGCCATGCCCACATTCTTGAGGTTCCTTCTTCACTTGGCTTCCCTTTCAGTCTGCTCTCCTGGTTCTTGTGCCCAACCCCCTCTTGTCCGTCTTCATCACTCCTTAGCGATGCCATCCAGACTGAGTATGAAGCGCTATCCATATGCCGTTTCAGGCCTCTCCTCACCTCGCCTATATGCCTATATGCAGGTGCCACTTCCACCTCTTTCCCAGAATGTCTGATAGAGCCCAGCCCCCACCCCAACCTGTTTCTCCTGCCACCTCCCCCATCTCAGCTGTTCCTTACGCCTTCCTTCCATCTCGCGGGCCAAAAAGCTAGCCCTCCTTGAGCACTTTCTCTCTCACACCCTTTTCCCAAACCTTCAGAAAACCCTGTTGGCTCTACCTTCAAAATCCATCGACAGTCAGGCCACTTCTACCACCCTCTCCCGGCCACTGTTCTCTCATCTGATTTCTGCAATGGCCCGGGTCACCCTGCTCCCACCACCCCCTCCCTGAGCGCTGTATCTGTTTTCAGAACAACAGACATGTCACTTGGGTCACTCGTCTGCTCAAGAGTCTAGTTCATTGAGGGTAAAAGCTAGAGTCCTTACAGTGGCTTACAATCCGCCTTTCCCCCGTTTCTCCCACCCCAGCCCCGTTATTTCTTCGGCCTCATCTCCTATTCTCTCCTTTGCTTCTATGTTCCCATTACAATGGCCTCTTAGCTATTCCTGGAACATGCCAGGCACACACCTATTTTGGGGTTTTTGTATAGGCTGTTCCTTCTACTCTCATTCTTAATATTCATGGCTCACTCCTACCTCCTTCAGGTCTTGAATGTCACCTCAATGAGACTTCCCCGACCACCTCCTTCTTGAAAACTGCTACACCAGCCCTGGCCCATTTTTCTCAGTGGTTAGAACATCAGCCTCGGACTGAAGGGTCTTGGGTTTGATTCTGATCAAAGGCACATACCTCGGTCGCAGATCCACACCCCCAGTAGGGACGTGTACGGGAGCATCCAATCAATGTGTCTCTCTCACATCGATGTTTTTTTCTCTTTCCCCCTCCCTTCTTTTATAGATAGATAGATAGAAATAGATAATTTTTTTATTGATTTCAGAGAGGGAGAGAGAGATAGAAACATCAATGATAAGAGAGAATCATTAATTGGCTGCCTCCTGCACTGGGAATCGAGCGTGCAACCTGAGCATGTGCACTGACTGGGAATCCAACCAGTGACCTCTTGGTTCCTGGGTCAATGCTCAACCGCTGAGCTACCCTAGGCTGGGTTCCCCCTTCCTTCTGCTCTTTCTAAAAATCAATGGAAAAGTATCCTCAGGTGAGGATTCACCAAAAACAAAACAAACAAAAAACAGCTGCCACACCATCCCATACCAGCCTTCCTCTCCCCATCTTTTAATTTCCTCCATCACACTGTCACAGGTGTAACACGCTTTTTATTTTTAAACTTTTAATTTTCAAATAATTATAAATTCACAGGAAGCTGAAAAAATTGTACAGAGAGGTCCTTGTGCTTTCACCCAGTTTCCCTCAATGGTCACCTCTCCCATCGACAGCATCAAAACTAGGAAGTTAGTATTGGTATGGCGTGTGTTTAGTGCTACAGCACTTTATCAGGTGTCAATTAATGTTTCCACCACTACAATCAGCAGAGTATTCCACCAAAACTGTCCCATCACCACAAAGATCTCCCTTGTGGAACCCTCTGTAGTCATACCTCTTTCCTCCAAAACCAGGCCTAACCACTGGCAACCACTCATCTGCTTTTTATCTTATAACTAGAGGCCCGGTGCACAAAATTCGTGCATTGGGGGGAGCAGTGTATCTCAACCCAGCCTGCACCTCTCCAATCTTGCACCCCTCGACGGATGTAGGGCTGCCCATTTAGGCCCGATCCTTGTAGGCCTAAACAGGCAGTCAGACATCCCTCTCACAATTCAGTCCTGCTGGCTCCCAACTGCTCGCCTGCCTGGCAGCCTGATCACCCCCTAACCACTCCCCTGCAGGCCTGTCACCCCTAACTGCCCTCCCCTGCAGGCTTGATCATCCCTAACAGCCCTCCCCTTGCAGGCCTGCCCCTCCCCCCCGCAACTGCTCTTCCCTGCAGGACTGAGTCCCCCCCAACTGCCCTTCCTTGCAGGCCCGGTCACCCCCAACTTCCCTCCTCTGCTGGCCTGGTCACCCCTAACTGCCCTCCCCTGCAGGCTTGATCACTCCCACCTGCCCTCCTTTGCAGGCCTGGCCCATTCCAACTACCCTGCCCTGCTGGTCATTTTGTGGCAGCCATCTTGTGTCTACATGGGGCAATCATCTTTGACCACATAGGGGCAACCATCTTGTGTGTTAGAGTGATGATCAATTTGCATATTATTCTTTTATTAGATAGGATTCTGACAGTTGGGGAATGTTGTAGAGATAGCATACTTTGTGACCATCTACGATTTTCTCAGTACAATGTTCTTGAAATCCATCTAGGTTGTTGTGTGCATCAGCAGTCCATTCCTTTTTATTACTGAGCCGTGTTCCATGGTATGGGCCAACAGTTTGTCTAACCGTGATCTACTGAGACTCGCTGTGGTTGTTTCATTTTTTACAAAGTTTCTAAGGATGATTGTACACAGGTTTTTGTACAAATGCAAGTTTTCATTTGTCTAGGATAAGTGCCAAGGAGTTTTTCTAGTAAATTTATAGTTAGATATTTTAAGAAACTGCCAAGCAATTTTCTTGAGTAGCTGTCATACCATTTTACATTCCCATCAGCAATGTATGAAAGATCCAGTTCCTAGATATCTTCGCCAGCATGCAGGGCTGTCACTAATCTGGAGTTTAGATCGCGTAACAGGTGTATTGTTGTATCTTATTGGGGCCTTAATTTGCATTTCCCCAAGGGCTGGTGATGTTAAACATCTCTTCCCGTGCTTATCTGCAGTCTGTGTATCTTCTTCAGTAACATTTCTCAATGTCTTCTGCCCAATTCTAATTGGATTGTTTTTATATATATATATATTGAGTTTTCAAAGCTCTTTATACAATCTAGATATATGTCCTTTGTCAGATATGTGGTTTGCAAACATTTTCTCCCAGTCTGTAGCTTATTTTTTTATCCTCTCATCGGGATCTTTCATAAAGCAAATGTTTTTTCATTTTCATGAAGTCCAATTTCTCAGTTCTTTATGTTACAGATCATGCTTTTGGTATCATTTCTACAAACTCTTCAGCAAGCCCTACGTCCTACAGATCTTCTCCTTTGAAACTGCGGCAGCGCAGGCATCCCAGCCTTCCTCACCAACCTCCTTGCTTTGCTTTGTCTCCGTAGCACCTCATGACACATTTGATTATTTGCGTATTGCCTGCCTTGCCCTGCTGGACTCCAAGTCCCACTGGTACAGGGGGTCTTTCCCGTTCTGTTCACTGCTACCTCTCCAGTGCCCAGCACAGTGTCCTGGTACCAAGCGCTCAGTGTACGTTTGTTGAATGATTAAAGGGCTCTTGGCTTCTGAGATGCAAGGTGCTTGGGCCAAGAGGTATTACTCAAGACAGGTAACCTCACAAGCTGTGCCGTTGTGAGCCACAGGAGAGGGAGACAAGAATACTGGCGTGAGGACCACAGCAGTCCCACGAGAGCCCTGCTCCTCCCTGCCCCCACCCCTCACTGTCTGCTAAGATTCAGGCAGAGAGAACAGCGGGTGTGAAGGCCAGGGCGTGGGAGGGCATGAGACTCACAGTGTAAAGGGCTGGCGTTGGGACAGGGGAGGAGCACCTGAAGGAAGCCCCGCAGGAGGGGGATGGGATAAGATCCCTCTGGAGGTGGGGTCTGACTTGGAGAATGGGGGTGAGCTCCATTTTCCATGTGTTGGGTTGGAGGGCCACTAGGCCGTCTAAGCCGAGCAGCTGGCCACAGGTCTAGAGGCCAGGGGAGCCCCATGCTGCGGACAGAGGAGGAGAGCACATCTGGATGGAAACTGTGGCCAGGGAGTGGCTGCTGCCCGGCAGACAGAACAGGGGTCGGGTCCTCAGGACACAAGCGCTGGGGGAAGAAGGAACAGCGATGCCCAGGGGCTTGTGAAAAACACAGCTCCCTGCTGAACTGGACTCTGGGTACGGGGTTCCCAAAATCTTCATTTTTAGCCAGTCTTCTGGGCAATTCTATAAGCTGAAGAACCACTGCCTTTGAGAAACTGAGGCTAAGGGATGAAGGAGAAGCAACAAGAAAGACCTCTGTTCCCCAAAAAAGAGTTTGAGGTAAAAAAAAAAAAAAAAAATTAAAGTGTGAAAATACCAAGGCTTGGGAGCAGGAGGAGAGATACTGCCACGAAACCAGCAGGCAGGGCAGGTAGAGGGAGCACACCGATACAACCGGCCTTGAAAAGGGGGTCATACCATCCCCCCAGCCACTCCCCTCCTGCACACACACCCGGGAGAGCCTCCGTGACCACAGGGAGATGTGTACAGAATGTTCACAGCACCAAGTGCAGACGATACCAGGCATAACCCGGGCATTAAATACCAGGGAAGCAGTGAAGGGGCGGCTGGAGGCACAGGCATGCCATTTACAGGCTTTGCCAGGAAGCTGCCGCCGTTAGACACGTGCCCAGTAAGGCCCGGGCTTACTTGTCAGTCCCCCCTGGGAACAGGTAATTGGCCAGAATGGGCGTGGCCCCTGCAAGGATGTGAAATCTGAGGTGTTTAAGGTCCTAAAAAACGCAATTTCCTCTCTTGGTGTTCCCTCGGCTCGCTCGCTCTCTTGCTGCTCACTTTTTTTTTTTTTTCGTTCGTTCTTTCTTTCTTTCTTTCTTTCTTTTTTTCTTTCTTTCTTTCTTTCTTTCTTTCTTTTTTTTAAATATATTTCATTGATTTTTAACAGAGAGGAAGAGAGAGGGATAGAGAGTTAGAAATATCAATGAGAGAGAATCATCGATCAGCTGCCTCTTGCACACCTCCTACTGGGGATGTGCCCGCAACCAAGGTACATGCCCTTGACCGGAATCCAACCTGGGACCTTTCAGTCTGCAGGCCGACGCTCTATCCACTGAGCCAAACCGGTTTCAGCTTCTCTTATTTTTTAAACATATTTTTATTGATTTCAGAGAGGAAGGGAGAGAGAGAAAGAGATAGAAACATCAATGAAGAGAGAGAATCATTGACCGGCTGCCTCTTACATGTGGATTGAGCCCACAACTAGGGCATGTGCCCTTGATCAAAATCGAACCTGGGACCCTTTAATCCACTAGCCGATGCTCTATCCACTGAGCCAAACCAGCTAGGGCTCTTGTTGCTCGCTTCTGACTCGTGGCTTGTGGGGCTCCCACCATCTGCATCACCCAGATGGCTCATGGCCATGTGGGACCCACACAGTGGGCTGAAGAGCTGGATCTAGCCTGATGCTGTGTGGACTCCACTCCACCATGGCGGAAACCCTGCACACTGGCTTTGCTTCTGGTTCTGCGGAAGCCCCAGCTGCATATTTCCCATGCAAATGAAGTCATTCCTTCTCCCTTGGGACTCCCAGACAATCCCTTTTCTCGCATTAGTGCTGGAGGAATCGCACCGCCCAACCCTCCAGCAGCACACACAATTCAGAGGTCTGCCTGAGGGCAAAGGGATAACTGGGTACAGTGGGGAGAAGGGAGCAGAGCCAGCACATCATTGTCGAGGGGAAAGGCAAACCACACCGTACGTACAAACGGCAAACTTCCAGGTACGTGACGCTGAAAAACATGGCGGCTGCGCTTACCTATTCATGTACTGCCTGCCTGCCCTGCTGCCACGGAAGATCACCCATGTGGACATGGTCAAACTACAGAGAAATCAAGGGCTTGAGTAACAAAATGCTGGGAACCGACTGCGTCTGGTCGGGGAGGAGGCTGGCTTGGGGAGGGCCTCAGCAGTCTAGTTCTTAGCCTGGTTCTGGTTAATGCACGTTTTGTTTTATTGTTATTATTTCTACTGTACACATGTAAGATGTGTGTAAGTTTTAAATACTTTACTTACTTCCAATTTGGGAGAGACAAGACCATTTGTTAGAGAGAAGTTTGGAGGTGAAAAAAGAGGCTTTTGAAGATGAGAGGGGCTAGAACGTGCTGAACGCAATGGCAAGGAGCTGAAGCGACCGTGTGCGACAGCCAACCAGGAGGCCCTCAAGGATGGGATGCGACCAAGACAGACGAACACTGGCGAGGTTGCAGAGAAAAAGGAACCCTCGTGCACTGCTGGTGGGAATGCAGACTGGTGCAACCACTGTGGAGAACAGTGTGGAGTTTCCTCAAAAAACTGAAAATGGAACTCCCATTTGACCCAGTAATCCCACTCCTAGGAATATATCCCAAGAAACTAGAAACATCAATCAGAAAGGATATATGCACCCCTATGTTCATAGCAGCACAATCTACAATAGCCAGAATTTGGAAACAGCCTAGGTGCCCGTCAGCAGATGATTGGATCCAAAAACTATGGTACATCTACACAACGGAATACTATGCTGCCACAAAAAAGAAGGATTTCTGATCATTTGCAGCAACCTGGATGGAATTGGAGAACATCATGCTGAGTGAAATAAGCCAGTCAATGAAAGAGAAACACCACATGACCTCACTCATTTATGGATAATAAAGAACATTATAAACTGATGAACCAAAAGATAGATATAGAGACAGTAAAGCAACAAGTAGACTGTCAAATTACAGCGGGGAGGGTAGGGAGATCTGGGGGAGATAACAGATCAACCAAAGGACTTGTATACATGCATATAAGTACAAGCAATGGACACAAAACTCTGGGGAGGGAGGGTATGTATGGGAGGGGGGAGCAATGTTAAATTATGTACACAGATCATAAATAAATAAAATAAAATAAAATAAAATAAAATAAAATAAAATAAAAAAAGACAGACGAACACTGACCGCAGATGGGAAGCAAGCCGAGTTTCCATGGCACCAGCAGGATGGGAGTGGAAGCATACAGGCTGGGCTTGTGCTGGGACTTGTGACCCCATCTGAGGTGGGGCGGCCTGCTGGGACTGAGCCCTCACCCTGTGGAGTCTGTGCCAACTCCGGGTGGTGTCGCCACTGGGCTGAAGTGTGGAACACCCAGCTGGTGGCAGAAAGAACCTCAGAGGGCTTTCTGCTCTTTGGGGTTCTGAGATACTCCTAGCCCTAGAGCCCAGTCCAGCTTCATCCTGGGAGTCAAAGGCTTTGGATGACCCTGCTGGGAATCTGACCACCATTTCCCACTTATGGTATTTCCAGGGGGAAACCCGTTTCTGGTTAATAAACTCAGACCCAAACAAAGTTCTGGAACCTGACTACTTAGCCTACGCCTGTTAAAGGGCCCGTGGGCTGCGGGCATCCGGTGTGCTCGGCCCCACCGCGTGCCCCTGGGCTCACCTGGATTTTGAGCCTGAACTTCCTGATGCCAGAGAAGGCCTTAAGGGTGTTCAGAGCTTGGATTTTGACACTGTTGTCCTTGTCATCCAGCATGGAGCCCACGAGCATGATGTCATCAGGAGTACAAGCAGAGGCCTAGGTGTACCGGGAGAGACGGAGGAGGCAGGAGCAGTGCCTGTCCTAGGCCCAGGGCCCCCATGTCACGGAGACCTCTCCCCACCACCCCTCCCGCCATCATCAACCAGAGGGACAGGTCCAGGACCCCGTCTGGCCAGTCAAGGGGGCAGGGGTGAGCGGGAGCCGCCGGGGGCCAGGCTGGCTAGGAGGGACCTCCTGCTTCCCGCCCCTCACCTCAGCTGACAGCAAGTACACACAGCGCGTGATGTTGTGCAGGATCATGCCCTTGGCGTACTCGTCGTGTTTGTTCTCCAGAGAGTTGAGAAGCCTCCGGAGCTCACCTGAGTCCCCCCCGTGCCGCTCTCGCTCGATGGCCAGGCCTAGACAGCCAACCCAGCCAGTTCAGGCTGAGGACTCAGAGTGAAGACAGAATGGGGTTGGAAGGGGTGGGGGTGCGGGGGAGGACCTGGGACAAAGCTGCCTCGCCTCTCCTGCCTTCTAAATGTTTACTCTGCCATTTCCTGGCATAAGCAGTGACACGCAGTCTCCCATCGTAATCAGCATATGGCGATGATACTCCAGCAGATGGCAACAAAGCGTCTTGCAGGAGGGATGGCCCTTTTCTACTTTGCCCAAAGTTGTCATAAAAACTAGTATGGGCTCTGGGCATGTAGGTCCCCCAACTCTCTCTGCGTGTCACTGCTGATGCCTGACACTCACGCAGTGGCGACCCAGGAGCCAGAGTGAATGGAGAGTGTGAAGACCTGCCACATGAGTCCTGAGGACCCCCGAGTCCCAGGCCCCGTGCTGGGTGAGGTTAAGGAAGATGGAGAAGAGAGGAGAGAGGAGGAACTGGAGTCACCTCTGGTCCCTCCCACACTGGAGGCTTGGGGCCGAGTCCTGCCCCCAGGGCCCAGACACTCACGGGCGATGCAGGTGGGCGAGGAGGTGGAGATGGGCGATTGGTCTCTCATGCCAGCCCGGATGGCCTTGTAGAGCAGGTAGACGGCCCCGGCGCCTATGGTCAAGCCCACTACGCTTTTGCGGACACTGAGCTGCCCCAGTGGGGAGACTTTCTTGCCCATGTCCTCAGAGCCACCCTGGGCCCAGGTGGGAGCTAGGCCCAAGGCGCCTGGTAAGGGCCTTCCGGAACCAGAACCCTGGCAGAGCCAGGAACCAGGGTACCAGAATCGGAACCCAGGCAACAAAAGCAACGGAAGAAATGGTGCTCGGTAGCAGGGAGGCCGGAGCTGCTTGGAAGGGGAGAAAGTTTAGCTCAGAGGCTGTGGGAAATGACGCTCAAGAATCTACTGGGATACAAAGTCTGGCAGGCAGGTCTTCTCCCCGCTTCCTCAGGGCAGCCGGGCTGGTGGGGTGCCAGCAGGGGGCTCCGGAGGCTGCCGCTCCTCCATTAGAGGGCAGCAGAGGCCCAATTTCTGGGCTGGGCCATTGAAAGTTTCTGGGAGGGGTGTTTGGGGTGTGCCCACTGGCAGTCCCCGTTCCCTCACTTCCCTGGCCCTCCTATCTTCCATCCCTTCACCACAGACCCTCTGCTGGGCCCAGGAACTGCTGCAGGCAGCCTCTCCCCTCCCTCCAATGCAGGGGTGCAGTATAAGACGTTCTGCAGAGTCTTGGGGCAAATCCACCATCTCCCGGGACCTGCATGTGCTCCTGCAGTGTGCAGCCTGAGGGACCAGCGCTCTGGAGGGTAACTGGCTGCATCCCCAACATGCAGCACCGTCTTGCACTTAGTAGGTGCTCAAGCCATGACTTCTGTCGCTCTTTGAGGACTCGAGGGCAGAACTGGCACAGAATCCAAACACAGGCTCCAGGCCCCTTTAACCAGTGCGGCCTAGAGCCGTGGTCGGCAAACCGGCTCACGAGCCACATGCGGCTCTTTGGCCCCTTGAGTGTGGCTCTTCCACAAAATACCACGGCCTGGGCGAGCCTATTTTGAAGAAGTGGCATTAGAAGAAGTTTAAGTTTAAAAAATGTGGCTCTCAAAAGAAATGTCGATCATTGTCCTGTTGATATTTGGCTCTGCGGACTAATGAGTTTGCCGATCACTGGCCTAGAGGAAGGGACTGTCCTTGCGTTGGTCTCAGTTTGTGGATTTCTACCCTGAGACCCAGGTTTATCGTTCTAAATCCCCAGGTTTAAGGTTTGGGTAGGTCTGTGCCTTTAAACTGGGGGGGCTTACATCTGTGAGTACCACCCCCACCCCACCTCGCCCACCCCAGGCGGGACGAGGCTTGAGGCCTCTTCTGGGAGAGCCCAGCTGTGGAGCCTTGATCTTCACTACGAGGAGGATGGGGCAGGCAGCCAGACCCTCCCATCCTCTCCTTGCCCCATGGCCCACCCCTGCGACCTCACCTCTGGTGTGGAACCAGGTGACAGACCCCGAGCCAGCGTCGAGCACGGCTGTACCAGAACAGGGCTCCCCTGCCTGGCTGGAGCGCCTGCTGGAAGACTCTGGATCCCGGGCTGGAAGTGGGGAAACAGGAAAACAGCCTCCCCAAGGATGCTGCCGCCATCCAGGCCTGTCCACGCAGAGCCTTCGCCCACCCAGCGGCTGCAGGCAGCGCTCTTAGAGGGCCCCTCTCTCCTTCCCTCTGCCCAGCCCCACCACACCCAGCGAGGTCGCCTATGGGTGACCACAGACTCCCCGCAGGAGGCCTCCTCCCTGCCGTGGGCCAACAGTCACCACCATGGGCTCAGGGAGGAAAGGCCTGCCTGCGGAGGGCTGCTTTAGGCTCCAAGGTGACCCTGCTGGGCCTGGGGATGGAGCCTCCAGAACAAGGTCCCTGCCCTTCTCTGGGGTGTGACTCAGAGCTACTGGCCTCTCCCGTGGATTTGATTCTGCGACCTTCACATGCTAAGCAGACACTGTGCTCACATATTCCCTCCAAAGAGCTCTAAGCTAGCTCCTTCCTGCTACACCGAAAGCCCCTTTCTTCGGTGCTGCCCTCAGATGACTCACAGGGGTCAGCGGCAGAGGCACCCAGGGTGACATTACCATGGGTCCCCAGCACGGGAGATAAGAAAGGGGAATGCCTGTTGCGGTGGCAAGCCAGCGACTGTTCTTTCTTGGGAATGGCTTTTTGATTCAGATGATGTTTCATAGTGAGAGAACTCAATTATACCTGCTTTTATGAGATATGGCAATAGATGGCAGTTGTGATTTCAGTGTGCTTAGGGAGCATAAATAAAAGCGGCAATTCTTTGTGGGAACTTGGCTTTTGTTTCCTTGTTTTGGCTTTTCTGACAAATCCAGAAATCTGGAGCCACCGGCGAGAGAGAAGTCTGAGATTCCACATACACGCAGCCCCAAGTTTCTTACAAAGCCAAGGGCGCAGGCTGATGCTCCCCCAGGTGGGGTGCAGTTTAGCTTAGTGAGAGCGTGGGCTCTAGGCAGACTTCCGGGTTCAAACCCAGCTCAGCCACTGACTTAGCTTTGTGTTTTGATTCTTGGAGAGAGGGAAACCTGGATTGGTTGCCTCCTGCCCACAACCCCACCCGCAGGAATGGAACCAGGACCCCTCGGTGCAGAGGACAATGGTTAGCCTACTGAGCCACACCGGCCAGGGCAGCTTTGCGATTTCCTCTTGCTGCATCTTCCCCACCTGCAAAGTGGAAATAACACCTGCCTGGGGAGGGTGTTTGTGGGATTAAGCAAAGTATGTAACTGCTGCGATCAGCAGGTTTCAGCCGTCAAGAACACTGGGCGGGAAAGCAGTGAGCACGCGATGGTGGGCCTCAGAGGCCTGAAAGGCACATGATTCAGCCCCTTCCACCCACCCCCGCCCTCACCCCTCCCCCCTCCCCCGTCCTGTCCAGACTGATCACGCTCCACTCCGGTAACCCACTTAACCGCCTGGAACCATTCCGGATTAGAGAAACTTGAGGAACCCCTTACGGTGTGGGGCGTGGGGGGCGCCACTCTGCAAGACCAAGTTCTAGGTCACTAAGGAGGGTGCCCGGGCCGGGCCCACGGCTTGTGCGCGCAGAAGCTGAAGGCGATGGGATGGCTTTACTGAACAGCCTTTGGAGCCCGACCGGCTGGAGTTTGGGCAAATTCCTCCGTCTGAGGCTCCATTTCCTCCTCCGGAGCGCGGTCTATTAATACGCCGCTACCGGGAAGCGGGCAGGGATGGCTGCAGTGACCCGGGCTCGGCGCTCTCGCTTCCCGAGCACCGGGCCCGGCGGGGAGGGGAGGATGGGGCGCCGCGCCCGGCCCGCCCCGCGCGCACCCCGGCCAGGGGTCAGGTTCGGGGCCTCTGGGGGACTCGCTACCCCCGCTGAGCGGAGGGACCGGGAGAGACGCGGCGGAGGCCCGCGCCCTCGAAGAAGAAGGAGGAGGAGGAGGAGGGGCGGGGTGCAGGCCGCGCCTCTCCCGCCCGGGCCTCCCTCTGGCCCTCCCCCCGGGGCCCCCTCCCCCGCCCCCTCCCGCGTGCATCCGGCGGCGGGCACAGGATGTTCTTTCGCGCTGGTTCCCCACACACACACCCCCCGCCCCCCGCTCTCACTTTCCCTCCCCCCTCCCCCCGGCACCTTATTTAACTCCTTCCCCCCCGCGCGCCGCCCCGTCCCCTCCCGCCCCCCAGGAGCCAGAGGGCTGCCCGGGGGACGGGGGCCTGGGTGAGCGCTGGGCTCGGGGGCTCGGGGTCCACTGGCTGGCTGGCCGGGAGTGAAGGGGTGGAATGGGGTCCCCGGGCCGCAGCCGGCACCCTCCGGGCCCCTCCAGTTCACCGCTGCGGAAGAGGGGGCTGGGGTGGGGTCCGCGCTCCGGAGGGGGGGGGGCCGCGCCGGAGCAGGCGGCCCGGAGGGCGCAGGGAGCCCCAGGCCCGGGGCAGCCGGGAGGCCGGGGACCCCAGCCTCAAGGTCTCCCGCTTGGGATGGGAAGGGGCCCCAGCGCCGGCGGAGGATGGAGAGGTGACGCCCCTCGCGGATACGTCACTGTCGCCAAGGCAACCGGGGCGGGGGGAGCGGCGGGAGGACTGGAGGCCAGACCTTCGGGAAAGGAGGCCGCCGGAGGCCTGGGGACGCGGGTGCGGGTGGGCGGAGGCGGGGGCGGGCTTTTCAATCTTTTCTGATTCACTCGCCGGTGGAAGGACTGGTTCTGTTCGCCGGTTCATTCAACAAACTTTCCTGGTTAAGCTCGCGCTGGGCTGGGCGCCCGGCCTAGGCGCTGGGCGTCCGCGGCCTCCGACTTCCGCTCGAGCTGAGTGAGGGTCTGGTGGCCACACGTCCCGGGATTACCGGTGTCATCATGAATCATGTCCCTCTTCGAGCTCAAAAGAGGGGGGCGGGTAGTTAAGGAACCTCGGCTTTGAATTCGTGGAAGGCTCCAGTTGTGCAGGAAAGGAAGGCCAGCTGGTATCTTCTCGCTCTGCACGAGCGCCTGCTGTAAGCAGATGTGTGGGAAACGTGCCTGTGTGTGTGGGAAGGTGGTCCGTGGCCCAGGCCTGGCATTCTCTGCCGTCTTTCCCCCTCATTCTGCGAGTATCACTGGTGCCTTTTACAGAGGAAGAAACTGGGTCAGAGAGGTTAAGACACCTGCCCAAGGCCAAACAGCTAAGTGCTTGGAACCAGACTCCAGTTTATGTGGCCTCTAACGTCTGATTGCCTTGTCTCACCTCTGCTTCCTTCTCAAAATAAATAAGTGATGTTAAATAAATAAAGACACTGTCTCTGCCATAAAGGAGTTTATGATCTATGGGGTTGAAAGTACTCCAGGTAAAACTAAACAATAAAATATAGACAAGATTGGAGACAGTTCCTAACGCTCCGAGGGAAGTTGGAAGCAAAATGATCAAAGCGAGGTGGAGGGTGTCAGAGCCTTCCGAAGGAGGTGGGCGCGAGTGGGGTTTTGAGGTGGGGATTGGCTTTGTGTCTGTGTGTGTGGGAGCGTGTCTGTGTGTGTGCGATGTGCTGTCGAGAAAGAGAACAATCTCAGGGCGTCGGACCAGGGGCCCAGAACTAGGCAGGCTGGAATCTCCGTGGCAAGCTCCCTCTGTAAGCCCAAAGCCGCTGGTTGCCCACACTCCCTTTCTCCTCCCACCCTCCTTGGCGCTTCTGTTTCTCC